AAAAAAAAAAAAAAAGAAGTCCTTTTCAAGTATGGGTCACATACTTGTGCCTCTCCGTATTTCTAGGTGTGGCACAGTGTTAGTCAATGATTAGCAGATACTGAGCAAATTAGAAAGAGAGCATACAGGGCACAGTTCTAGGACCTCAGGATGTAACAGGGTTCTAACGGCCTTAGTTAGAACTCATTCTTATTTATAACCGTGCAAATTCTGCTTCCACAAAATCATTTATAAACTAGACATGCGTAAATTACAGTCCTGGCTTTTTAGTATAAATATGGTACAGTATAAACATTTTAAGGTTAAAGAAAATTGAGGCAAAGGAGAAAACATACTTACACTGGCTAATGTATTAGATAATTCCATTAAAAAAAAAAAGTAAGCAGTATTTCATCCTGAAGCTAGACCCATTAGCATTTACATTGTAATGGCAATTTCTAGCTTTAAAATGATATTCTCTACATGCGGCAAACTATGTTACTCAGAGTCTCATCTCTGTCCTTGCTAGCTGGCTTTCTGGTTTCTCCATGCTCGTAGGGTGGACGGCACTAAGTCAGAATCAAATAACATGGCACGTATTAACCACACTCTCACTTTATTCTAAACTACTCAAAGAATCATCCTCACATTCCAAACACGTTCATATATTTTCTCCAACCTAGAGGTTGGCAAGCTTTTTCTGTGAAGGGCCAGAAAGTAAATATTTTAGGCTTTAATGGGCCATACAGTCTCTGTTGCAACTATTCAACTCTGTAGCAGTAGCACAAAAACAGCCATAGGCTATATGTAAACAAACAAACGTGGCCGTGTTCTAGTAACATGTTATTTACGAACACTGAAATCTGAAGTTCATAGAATTTTCATGCATCATGAAATATTATTCTTCTCTTGATTTTTCTTATCTTTTGACACACTGTTCTATTTCCTATAAAAGTAGATTATTTCAATACGTCCATAATTTTCCCTATTTCTGTCTTTCTCCAATCTTATATTATTTTTTTACTCAGTCCTAAATTTTATGTAAACAGAAATTTTCAGATATGAACTGTTGTAAAGTTTACTTTCTCATGGATATAAGCCAATCCATCCAGAATCTCTCGAAAAAGCCTCCAGAGTCTGATGGTGTCTTGATACAGTCCCTGGTCAATGGTGTCGCGTAAAGTGCTCTTTTCACAGTACTCCATCTACGGACAAGAACCAACCAGGCAGGATTTGGTTATACAGCGTTTCAATTAAGGAGGACAACTGCAATTAATGTAATCCCTCATTTTAAAACATGTACCACAGATTTCAAATAGCTATGGGAAAGGCTTGATTTTTTTTTTTAATTGAAAAAAGAAGCCAAGAGTATTTTTTAAAAATTGGGGAGGAAATATGCATAATCTTAGCATCCTAACATAACCAATTTTTCATACTTACTGTTCATTAAAAAAAGACACACCCATTTAAAATCCATCACAAATCATATAAAAAACAGAGAAGTATAATTTTGTTGATTGTTGTACGAGATTGTTTCTAAACCCAAATTTCTAAGAAGGGCTAATTAACCTAGTGATCCCATTTGTACATTAAATTAATGACAATGACCTTAAGTCTAGCACAAACATTATAAATATCAAAA